ATTTGGACCAGATCCAAGGTCCAAAGCTGCAAGGCCCCTTCCCGTTCTGATCCTGTGACTTTCCTCCACAGAGAACAAGGCTCTAGGTGAAGAAATTGATCTGTTGGAAACACTCCTGAACGTTCGGAAGGAGAAGGACCCAAATAAAATTGCAAAGGAGAGGGAAGAAACAGGCAGGAGGAGAAGACAGAGAGACAGAAAAATAGGGAGAGATAGAGACAGAGGAAGAGAGGGAGAGAGAGAGAGAGATGGGGAGACAGAGAGAGAGACAAAGATGAGAGGCAGAGAGGAAAGAGAGGGAGGGAGGGAGAGAGGGAGAGAGAAAGAAAGAGAGACTAGGAAAAATCAACCTAGTAGATGTTGACAGTTCATTTCTATGGCCAGTTTAAAACCCTTAAAGGATGGGAAATGTAATGATGAATGGGCGGCTATAATTTAAACTCTTTTCCCTAAACGTTAAGGTTAAACAAACATGTGCCAGATATGTGCGATATTACAATCGACCTTCACAAGTTTTTGTCTAGTTGTAAGTTGCTTTTTCCCTAAGAAAAGATTTGTTTCTTCAGGTTTGCCCATTTGTTCATTCATTCATTCATTCATTCATTCATCCATCTCTCCATCCACCCAGCAAACGCCTGTGGGAACACGGCCTCAACGGAAGGCCCAGAGTCCACTGCTCTGCAGGACGTGAAGCTGCTCTGCTTTTCCCTCAGGGGTCCCTCCCCTCCATGGGCTTACATAACTCTGACCCAAATGTCCCTACGTGGGTAGCAGAGATAGCTTACACACTTGGAGCTGAATCATCTCCACTGATTGGTTCAGGGCCTCTGTTTCTAATTAAAGATATTTGGTCTGAAGAGCTCTGGGTTCCTCGAGGGCACCTGTGTCCTGAATGACGCCTATCCAGCACCTTGTTCAATCATAATCTGTGCTCTTGGTGTCATAGAGGGAGCTATGAAACTTACCTGGCCGAGTGGGCAGATGCCATGTTGGCAGTGAAGAATCAGGGCTCATCCTGCTTCCCCCGGAGGAGTAAATCCATCTTCCAGCATGTATGAAGCACCTACTAAGTGCTGGGCACTGGGGAAATGAGCACAGAAGTAGGACTGTCTGGTGCTCAAGGAGTTTACATTCTGCTTGGGAGATGTTATGACCATTAAAGTGTCTGTCCAATCCACAAGCAACAGGATCAGAGATGTTGAGCTGGAGGGACTTCAGAAATCATCTGGCCCCACCCTCTCATTTTATGGATGAACTCCTGAGTCCCTGCAGGAGAAGTAGGCTACCCAAGGGCACGAGAGTAGCAAATGGAGCTAGGATTTGAATCCAAATCCAGGTCACTATCATCCATGGCACCCAATGCTCTCTCCCAGTACCATAGGTATTCTTGAGTTAGGACCATTCCCTTTGTTCTGGGGTAGATATAATTTGGTAGATAGATATTTCCAGAGACCTGACCCACAGAGAGATGCCACCTGCTGGCACTCAGTTAAGTTTTGAACCTGGGTTGAAATCACTGTCACCAGCCTTCTTCACTTGCTTGTGTAGATGGCAAGCTGCTTGAGGGCAGGGACTTAACAGCAGGACCATTTGGAAAAAGGAAAAGAGAATGGAATCCACAAAGCAGAGGCCAGTGAGCATGACTTCAATTCCTGGCAAAGTTCTAGAACATATAATTAAACGGGTGGTTAGTGTACCTCTAGAAGGGGAAGTGATGATAACAGAGCCCTCTGGGTTTCACTGAGAGCGAATCATGCCAGACTCAACCTATTTCCTTTTTTGGGGATCGAAGAGGGGTAGGAAGAAATGAATGGATTCTTCTGTTTTCATTTTATGCCTTGGTTCTAACAGATCGGAGCTGGTTTTGTTTATGATTTCTTGTAGTATGCAGGCAACGGGGGTGGATGTAGAGGGCCTGAGTAATTAGAGCCGTTCAAGGGGGCATGGGCCGCCTTAGCTGGGGGCTGGTTCTTGCTCACTGGAGGTCTTCAGGCAGAGACGAGGGGACCCTTTGTTAGAGATACTCTAACTCAAGGGATACTCGGGATTCTCGGTCAGGTGTGCGTTAGGTTAGAGGTCCTCAGAGGGCCTTTCCAACTCAAATTCTGTGAATCAGTGTCTTCTGTTTTCTAGCTTTGTGACTTCAGGTCAAGTACTTCAGCTCCTTGAGTTTTAGCTTCCTCATTTGTGGAATGAGGGATTTGGACCAGATCCAAGGTCCAAAGCTGCAAGGCCCCTTCCCGTTCTGATCCTGTGACTTTCCTCCACAGAGAACAAGGCCAGTATGCAGGCTTTTAAAAATATGATTTTTAGGTAGTCTGATGATTGACAGATGATTTTTCCTTGACCCACTTTAAATGTTTTTAATAGTATATGCCTTTTACTTTCTTTGCTTTTTCAATCTTGTTGTCATTGGGTGATGGGGGCAGCAGACTGTTGACCAGTGAACAGGTGTTAGCATGCTTGGCTGGTACAATCCCCCATGGGGAAGAGGCGCAATGCCATGGAAGATGGACCAATGCCTTGGGGAGATTAGGACCGTGCCTGCTCATGGTCTTGGATGGGTTCGCCATGTCTTCTGTGCCGGGCACTCCCACTTACCACTGCCCATAATTCTTCCCTAATTCCTTTTGTCCACAGGGTTGCTAAACTGATACATAAGCTATAGATAGAGCTTTAATGATAGTTCCCCCAGACGGTGGAAAAGCCCTCGACAAAGACTCTGGAGAGAGGTGGGTTAGACCACGGGATAAGTAAGTGGCTCAGAACCGATTCAGTGCTGGACCCATGTTAGTTCCACGACCATCTGGAAGCTGGCCTCCAGTGTCATCGGTGACTTGCATCAAGGCTAGATGGTAGATGATGCAATGTTGGAAGGAATAGCTCTTTTCAGTGAGGATTTGAAAAGGTCCCGAGAGGCCAGAACTTTGAGACAAATCTACAAATCAGATTTAATGACCAAATCCCAGTGAGATCAACTCTGCTCTGTCCTGTCTATATCCCATAAGTACCTAGGTATTTGCCTGTTGCTTATGCCGGTGCTTTGGCCTTTCTTTGTAGCATTAAGGACTCAGTAAATCTTTCCTCTCCCTCTCTGAACCTCCTAAGACAAGTTAACACAAAGAACCTGAAAATTTACCAACAAATTTAACAGAGGAAAAAAAAAAGTCATTTGGGAAACTTTTGGAGGGCAGAGACCTGTGTTTGGAAAGCTGGGGATTGAGCCTAGTTGAGTGGCCCTGGACAAGTCACTTTCTTCCCTTAGGCCTTGTTTTCCCCATCTGTAGAATGGGGACAACCCCTGCCCACCCCAGAATTGTGGTGAGGCTTAAAAATGAGATCCCACAAGTGAGGAGATTGGTAAATTACAGAGTACTGGAGAAGTGGGCGCTATCCCGACAGCCACTTGGATTTGTCTCTGCGCCATGCTGTCCTTGGGGGCTCATATGCTATATCTGGGGGCTGGAAGGGCAAAGAGACTGAGGACTGAAGCAAGTCAAGGAAACTAGTGGGGGTGACATCATCCTGCGCTTTGGCAATGGAATGGAGGATGGATTGGAGCAAGTGGAGATTTGGGGCAGGCAGACCCACTACCAGGCTGTGGCAATAGTACAGGCATGAGGTGACAAGGGTCTGTACCTAGGGGGTGGCAGTGTCAGAGGAGAGAAGGGGGCAGATCTGAGAGACATTGCTAAGGTGAGAGTCACAGGCCTGGGTGCCATGTTGGATATGGGGCAGGGTGAGAGGTAGTGGAGGATGAAGCCTCGGTGGTGAGGCAGCATTTGTCACTGGATGATGGGGGACTGGCCTGGGTGTCGACCCAGCTGCACCAGCATGGCTAAATCTCTCATTCCCTCAGTTTTCCTCTTGTGTAAAATGGCAAATTGTGTGTACTTCCCTCCTGAGGCTGTAAGGTTTACAGGCGATAACCCATAGGAAGTGTTTTGTGAATCCTCCAGACCCAAGCAGGCCTGGGACTTGTCTCCCGAGAGTAAACCATCGCCACATTCTCATAGAAACAAACATGCAGTCTACACAAGAACAGAAATTTCAGTTGGAAATCTCATAGGATCACACTAATTCATTCAACAAGCATTTATTGATCGCCTACTGTTTGCCAGACAAAAAGGAAAGAATCCCTGCCCTCAAGGAGCTCACATACTAGAGGAAGAAAACAAGATGTACACAGTTAATACAAAATACATAAATACAAAATAATATCAGGAGGGGTGGAGGTGGGCAGGGGCATCAGGGCGGGCCTCACGGAGGAGGCAGCTGAGCTGAGCTGAGCCTTGAGGGAACCCGGGATTGTAAGAGGTGGGGGTGAGGAGGGAGTGAGTGCATTCCAGACGTGGGGGACGGCCAGAATAGCATAAAAGAAGCCCGGAAAGCCAGGCCAGAGTCAGTCGGTGAAAGGCTTCCGTGCCCAAGAGCGGACCTCAGGAATGATCTAGTCCAGCCCTCTCGTTTGACCGACAGAGAAAGCGAGGCCCGAAGGGGCAGTGTCTGGTCTAAGGTCCCCCAGGAGAGGGTGAGGGCCCAGGCAGGGGCCACCAGAGTGGGAGGCGGGCTTTGGGGGTCCGCTCCCCTTCAGACTACCACCTCTCAGTCTTAGGACTTTGGCGATGACTCAGTTTAACAAGCTCATTTACAGGGGAGGAAACAGGCTCACTCCTCAAAGTCACAGACCCGGGTAGGGGCCCAGCCAAGATCACCAACCAAGTCTCGGAGGGGGGACGGGGAGAGGAGAAAACATGCAGGCGGGGCAGGTGGCCCTCGGAGCGGTCTTTGGCCAGAATGTGTTTCTTTCCCACGAGGCATCGGGTTACCGTCAGCATCAATGAGGCCAACCACGGAGGGGGGCTGCCCCGGAGGGCCACGATCCAGGAGGGAGGCGGTCACCTACTCAAAGACAGTCCCCCGAGCCATGCACTGTGCCCCATGCACTGTGGGTGGCTGAAATGCTCTGCGGGAATAATCAACGAGTCTGAGCTAGGAAACATTGTGTTGCAAGATTTAATAATAATAACATCTCAAAAACAATCGTAAGAGGGCGCGTCATACACGTGTGTGTGATCACTCAGTGGTTTTTATTGGCCATCGATAGTTGCTGGTCAGTAAGAAGCCCGTGGCCGAGGCGCGGCTGCTGGGAGGAGGGACGCGAGGACGGGCGAGACTCAGAACCGCACAAAGGTGGCATCGATCTGCCGGATGGTGGGCAGGGCCAGCATGATCTTACGCCGGTACTGGGGGTCTTTCTGCAGAGGGTTGCGCTCCAGGTAAACTGTCTCCAGGTGCTTGGCTCCCTTCAATTCATCCAAGTCACTCCAGCTCTCGATGAGGTTGTCATTCATCTGCAGAGGGCACAGACAGCAGAAAGGTCTGGTTAAAAGGAGCGTCCCCGACATCAGGGGGGCGGGTGCGGATCCAGAGCCTGGTCACCGCACCTCCTAGCGGCTGGCCTCAGAGCAGCCCCTCGCGGCTCACGCGGCATCCCGGCCAGGTGCTGCCGGCCCCGAGCCGTCCCTGGGCGCTCCACACAGGCGACTCGCCCCTCACTCACTTACCCAGCTAAGTGACAGGCATTTCCACATCCAGCATCAGAGGAAGGAAGGGCAAAATCCAAAATAAATGTAAATACATGGAATCCATCTATTTATCAAAGCCTTTTCTTTCCAAAGCCAGTGGGTCAGGTGTTTTCTAAGCCTACGACACTTAGTCACAAAAAGAAAAGGCGTCCTAGCTATCCCCTGGAAGGCCCCAGCTTGCCCTCACTGTGCTGCAGCTGCAGGGGCGCCCGGGGAACCCGCCCACTCAGCCTGGGGATCTCGGTTCTAAGGAAGGAGCCAGAGTCTGCTGGCAAGGACGGCGCTCTCTCTGGGAGGCGTCTTTTGCCTAACGTGGGGCACGGGTGTCCTGCTTCCCCCCCCCAGGGAGCTTCTGATCCTGCAGGCAAGGCAGCGTGGCTGTATCCCCCAGAGAGAGGAGAGAGAAAGGAAAGGGATCAGGAAACGAGAGCCTCTCTAGTGCTTTGCTCGTCTCTACCTGCAACACGTTTGGAGCCGGGATGGAATTCGGTGGCATTACCTGGTGCTTACATTAAGGCCCTTGGGGTAGGGTGCTGGGAAGGGTCTGAAGGACTCACACAGCGTTTACATCTGGAATCATGATGCCTATATCAATCAATAAACAAAAAATTCACTCTTTAAAGTGGGCTTCACCCGTTTCCACCGACCCACTGAATGTGTGGTAAAACAGGTGGCTGGGCCTCTTCCTTGGGAGGAGGCTGGTGTGTGACAAAGGGGTGGCGGGAGTCGACAGGAAGACGGTCGAGGACACCGCTGTGTCCTCTGCTAAGCCGGTCTTTGTTCCTGTAGGACGAGGGCCCCGTGACCTTCAATGTGTCTCTGCTTTACTAATCGTGAGGGGGAAATGTGGGCAGACTGCCGCCAGGCAGGATGAGGCTGGGGGAGAACATTCAAAAGAGCGTGGTGTGCTGCCTACCTGTCCTCGCCTGCAAAAGGCGCCCTGCACCTCAGGAAGGCTTGGTAAATGAGGAGGGTCTAGAACCCTGGCCTGGAATGGAAGGAGGGACTTTCTAAGCTCACAACCATCCCCACACATCGATGCCGAGTTCTTACCAACCCGAGCTGGGACAGGGAGTTTGGGCCTAGGAATACCCCTTGATTTCAACCTTTATTCAACAGGTTACTATTTCTAGTTGGCGGTCCATCCAAGGACCCCCAAACATTCCTGGCCTGACTGAGGGGCAGGTACCTCCCACACTGGGCCTGGCAGCTGTGCCCCTCGGCCCGGAGGGGGCCCTGCCTGAGACAAGTGCCTCCCTGCACAGACGTGGCCCTGCTCTCAGATGGCCCGGGGTCCCTCTCGCCCCTCTGGAGCGGCTCGGCCGTCACTCTGCCTTCTCCTTGCCCATACCTCAGCCTGGGCTGATCCCCTGGACTCTGACGGGGTCTGCCTGGATACCTTCCTTGGGGGTCCGTCCCAAGATCTGGCTTCCCAAAAGAACAGTTCCTCTGCTCCCTGACCCCTTGTCCAAGGGTCCTCGATGATCAGTGAGGATTCTTTTGGTCTACACAGCCTCCCTGGGGCCCTGACCTGGCCGCCCGAGCCCCAGAACTAACAATAAGGGAGCACAACATTCCAATGATGGAGGAAATAAAAGGAAGGGCTGGCCGTTCGATCCCACAGAGCAGAAGTCGGCTGGCTCAGCACGGTCCCCAGGGACGAGGAGCAGACCTGTCATCGGGGATGGAGGCAGCCTCCCTGACCCCGTTCCCTGCACTGCTGGTGAAGACCAGGAGCGCCTAAATCCTTCTGAGATACTGGAGGGGCGCTCTCGAACACAGCTGGCTGGAAATCCCCTTTTCAGCTAGCTCGGACCCTGGCTGTGAGGGGATCTGGCCTGCAGACTCCCTACCCCCCGCACGAGCTAACACGCACCCTGGATTTGCACCCTTACTCGACACAAACAAGGATTCTAGTGCGGCTTCCACTCACCCAGAATTCCTGCAGTTCTGTTAGGTGGCTGATGTTTTCAATCTTTTTGATTCTGTTTGATGCAATGTCCAGCATTGTGAGTTTGTTCTGAAACAAGGAGGGAACATTTTAGTGCCGCATTGGAGGGGGCAGGGCAGGAGGGCGTGAGCTGCAGAAGCAGCAGAGCGGGGCCCAGGGGCACAGCCCCGCCCGCTCTCAGGTGGTTTAACAGGTCGAGGGGGGGGAGCCCGAGGCCTGTGCTAGCAGAGGCAGGCCGTGTGGACACGAGCCACAGACCACCAAAGTCCTGAGGCTTGAACTCTCTGCTGGGGAAATCTGGCATGGAGGAAGCATCCTGAGCAGAGAGACCACAGCCCCCTCCCCTCCACAGAGGCAGGCTCCCACCAGCCTTCCCAAGGCAGCAGAGCTGTAAGCTTGAACGCCAACGAAAAGGACCACCAAGGAAAGAAGTTCTGTGCACACACACACACACACACATGCGCACATGTGCACACACTTGCACACATACACACACACACGCATCCAGTAAATAGGAGTTGGACTGAACTTACTGGCCCCAGACGTCAGAATCAAAGCTATTTTAAGCTGGCCAGAAGCCACCAAAGAAATTTCTATATACATACATACATACATATATATGTGCGTGTATGTATGCACACACACATGCACACAAATGTGTACACACACATGTATATAAGTATATATGTTTCTGCTACTTCTAGTTGAGGATTCCCTTCTGCTGTACTCAAAAGTGCTCCCCCAAAGTTTTCCTGAGTTTTGAGGTAAACTTGGGAAAATCTCAGCCTATAAATCCCCAGCCTGCCACCATCCCTGCCACTGGGCTGTCCCCCAGGGACGCCGGTGTTCCCCGGTCAGAAGCGGTCCCCATCTGCACTGCCCAACATGGTCTGATTCCAGTCTGGGAGCAGGCCCCATTGGGATTATTGTTCCCATTTACAGATGAGGAGGCCAAGGGAAAGCTCAGAGAAGTAAAAGCTTTGCCGGGTCCAAGGCAGGGTCTGGATCCCGGTCTCTGGTGACCATGGTCCGATAAGCCACAAGGTACCCGTGGTTCACAGCCCGAGTCGGGAGCAGCGACCTTTCTCCTCGTAATCCTGGTGCTCAGAGGAGTCGGGAGCTAGAGGTGACTCCACGGTACAAAGAGAGAGCTGCCCACGTCATCTCCAGGGCTGGGGGGAAACCTCGTTTCCTGCCCCGGGCCACAGCCGGCTCCCCCCAACCCCCTGGCTGGCGGTCCTCCTCGTGATGACAGCCACAGTGGCTGGCCCTGATCCAGTTTGAGATGTCACATCTGCAAAGTGCTTTATCCTCACAACCCCCTGGGAGGTGGGTTCTCTTTACAGTGAGGAAACTGAGTCCAGGAGGTGTCGGGTAACTCGCCCAGGGTCACAGTGTGACGCTTGGAGGTCTTCAAGAGCAGCGATTGAGCTGGTCCTGGACTTGTGCTGGGGCTTGGCCAGTGGCTGGCTGGGCCGAGATCCTTTCTACTGTTCCTTCAAGTTCTGGGCCTGGGGTCACTCTGGAGAGAGCAGCTTCAGCAGAACACGGGCTTGGAAACCAGGGTGCTTAGGGGTCAAGAAGGGAGGCAGAGGAGGTCAGAGAGGTGCCTCGTGCAGACGCCTTTTCGAGGAGCTTGGCGACAAGGGGCAGAAAAGATACTGGATGATCATTAGCGGGGATGGCATGGCCAAAAGGGGATTTTGGGGTGTGTTTGTGGGTGGTAGGGAGCAGCCAGGAGAGAAGGAGAGAGAAGTGCCAGAGAGGGGATGATGGGAAAGGGGTAGGGGAAGGCCTGGGATCTGCCTGAGGAGACAGGATGGAAGGGGATCCCTGCAGGAGTGGAGGGGGTGCCTCGGGGAGGAATAATCCCGCCTCATCGTGTGAGACAGGGGAGAAGAAGAGGGGCAGACGGGGGGCTCGTGGTGAGAGGCGAGGGGGGGGGGCGGGGTGAGGTCCCAGCCGAGGCCGTGAGACGCGGACCTGGGGGGGGGCCAGGGCGAGGAGCCGCTCGCCTTTCCACAGGGCTTGGGGGCGGCAGCAGGAAGGCTGACGGAGGGGACCAGAGGCCCACAGCCGGGAAGGGGCCGAGCTTCAAGATCTGAGCCTGATGCTCTTTTATTCCCACGGCTTCATGAGGCTTCTCCACTTCTGGCTCTGAGTGTGAGAGAGCTTCTCATCCCTAAGAAGGCGCTGGTGACACTGGCCCCGTTTCCCGTGCAGGGTCGCTGGGAAGAAAGCCCTACGTGGATCTCACAGAAAACGGAGGCATTACCACCGGTGTCTCACAGGCCGCACAGGTCCCGGTCTCCACTGGACCCGGGGCTCTGGGGGAGTGGGGATCGTTTCACGCTTCGTCTCTCCGGCACCGAGCGCGAGCCTGGCCCGCCAGAGGCACCTGATAGATGTCTGTCAACGCGGGGTCTGCCCAGGTCAGGATGGGGGACAGAGATTGTTCTTCTGCCCTGGAGTCAAGTCCATTTTCAGGATCGAGTGCAATACTGTGGTTTCTTGGTGGGAAATGGGCTGAATTTCAGCGACCAGCTGGACGGGAGGATCCTCACTCAAGGCTGAGTCCTCGTGTCCAGGTTACGCCAGCGGCACCCCAGCAGGCCTCCCCGTCTCCCTCACCTCTCCTGCACAACGCCACCAGACTAAGATTAAGGTAATGCTCTGAGCAGGCCACGGGCTCCTGCTGAGTTGGGCATCTTCCCTCCCGGGGCTCACACTTACGTTGTTCTCCAAGCCCTCGATGACCTCGATGCCGTTATGGCTGAGGTAGAGCTCCCGAAGGTTCACCAGGCTTTGGAGGCCTTCGATTTTGGTCAGCCGGTTGCTCTACCATTGGAGAAGGAGAAGAAAAAGGAAAAGGCCAGCAAGAGTCAGTTTCCAGACCTCAAACTATCACCACGCCACGCCCAGCCCAGCCACCCATGCATCTTAGATCTAATTTACTGTTTGGGCACATTTTAAGTTCTGAGCTGTCTCCCTCCTTCCCAACCCTGCACTAGAGAAGGGCACCGCAGGACACAGATAGCACTCTTGCCCTCTCTCCATACACACACACACACACACACACACACACACATCTGTATGTGTGAAACCACACTCCGCACACTTCTCTTCGTCAGTTCTTTCTCTGCAGGTGGACAGCACCTCCCTTCCCAGGTCCTTACAGGTGATTTGGGTATCGATGGGACTCAGAACCACCTGGCTGTTCAGTTACTCGTGAACAATGTTGCTTTTACTGTGTATGACATTCTCTTGGTTCTGCTCACTTCACCATTCATTACTTCATACAAGTCTTTCCAAGTTTTCCAGAGCACAATAGCACCCCATCACAATCACATGCCACAACTTATTCAGCCCTTCCCCAGTTCATGGGCATCTCCTCAATTTCCAGGTTTCTGCCACCACAAAGGGAGCTGCCATAAATATTTTAGAATATATCACTTCTTTTTCTTTTTCCTGATCCCCTTGGGAAACAGACCCAGCAGTGGCATTGCTGGGTCAAAGTCTATACAGAGTTTTATAACTCTTTGGGCATACTTCCAGATTGCTCTCTAAAATGGTTGGATCAGTTCACAATTCCACCAACAGTGTATTAATGTCCCAATTTTTCCACATCCCCTCCAACATCTGTCAGTTTCCTCTTCTATTATTTTCATTAATCTGATAGGTGTGAGATGATATCTCAAAGTTGTTTCAATGTGCACTTCTCTAATTAATAATGATTCTGAACATTTTTTCAGATGACTAAAGATAGCTTTAATTTCTTCATTGAAAGACTGCCTGCTCATATCCTTTGGCCATTTATCAATTGGGGAATGGCTCATATGCTTGTACATTTGACTATATATTTGAGATTTGAGACCTTTATCTGAGAAACTATCTACAAAATCACCCCTGCCCCCCCACCCCCCTGCCAATTTTCTGCTTTCCTTCCAATCTTGGCTACATTGGTTTTATTTGTACAAACCCTTTAAAATTTAACGTAATCAAAATGATCCATTTAACTGCTCACAATACCATCTCTTGTTTTTTCACGATGTTCTCCTGTCCATAAGTCTGAGAGGTAATGTGTTCCATGTTCTTCCAATTTACTCAATGATGTCTCCTTTTACATCCAGGTCATGTATCCATTTAAATGGGGCAAGATATTGGTCTACACTGAATTTCTGTTTTCCAGTTTTCCCAATAATTTTTTTGGAGGGAGAGGCAATTGGGGTTAAATGACTTGCTCAAGGTCACACAGCTATCTAGTGTCTGAGGCCACATTTGAACTCAGGTCCTCCTGACTCCAGGTCCAGTGCTCTAACCACTGTGCCACCTAGCTGTTCTTAATAATTTTTAGCAAATGGCAAATTCTTATCCCACAAGTTTAAATCTTTACATTTGCCAAACACTAGGTTGCTATAATAATCTTTGACTACGTATAAAGAAGCAGCCATCAAAACCATCTGGTATTGGTTACAAATAGAAAGAGAGATCCATGGGAGAATCAGAAGCTATGGAATTCAATAACCCAGCATTTGATAAACCAGAAAACGTTAGTTACTTAGGAAAAAACTTCCTAATTGATAAAAACTGCTGGAAAAACTGGAAAGAAGTCTGGCATTAATTAGGATCAGCCCATTACCTTATACCGCATTCCACAATACATTCTAAGTGGATGTGTGACCTTAATATTAAAGATTAGACTAAAAGATGAAAAGAGAAGCAGGTCATAGGCCTCTCAAGGCTCTGGGGAAGTGACTGACAGATTCTTAACCAAAGAAGGGAAAGAAGCAATTACAGAAAATATTGATGAAATTGAAACACTTCCGCACAAACAAAATTAGTGCACCCAGGATAAGAAGAAAAGCATTTGAATGGGAAAAAAAACTTCATGTCATATTTCCCAATAAAGGTTTGTATTCAGGATATAGAAAGAATTTTATTTATTTATTCACACACACACACACATACACATATAGTATGTACGTGTATATCTCCAAAAGCCATTCCCCAAATGCTCCAAATCATGAATAATAAGGGAAATACAGATCAAAACACTGCTGGTTTCATCTTATGCCCTGCAAATTAGTAAAGATGATAAATGCTGGGAATAGTCAGTGCTGGAGAGGTTGCGGCAAGGTAGGCATCCTATTGCTTTGCTGGAGGAGCTATGAATCACCACGACCATTTTGGAAGGCAATTAAGAATTATGCAGATAAAACGATTAAAACATTCATCCTCTTTGACCTAAAGATACGAGGCTCACACCCCAAGTAGGCCACTGACAAGATGAGAGTCCTCCAGCAAACCAAAATATTCGGGTCAGCATAGAATAGGGAACCAAGCTGATGCCATGCGCTGGGCAACGGCTCCACAAGCATGGCTCATGAGTGGAATGGAGTATCCCTGCATCACAATTGAGGACAAATGTGACTACTCCAGAGGAATGCACGGAGAGACCTCCAGGGCCCGGTGCAGCATGAAGTGGGCAGAGCCACCGCCGCAGAAATCAGCGTGAGGGTGGCTCCCAGAGCACGGGCAGCCCACGCAACTGCGGGCTCTCCTTTTTCTTTTTTGTCCTTCGGAAGCATTACCTGTTCCACTGAATGGCTCTTTGGAAGGCAGCCTTACCAGGGAAAGCAGGGTGATGCATGAAAACCCCCGACACCAAGAAAAACTTACCAAAACAGGTTACTTAAAATACATAAGGAATTTGTCAGGAAAAAAACAAAAAGCAGTTCAGGGTTGCCAACCACAGCTAAAGGCAGTCCTGATCATGGGTGCAGAGGCAACACGCACTGAAATCCCCCGGCTAAAGAGCTGGCCACAAACCAGAACCCGGGACTTGCAACTGTGGCCTCTCATGTCCGGGGCACCCAAAGGAGCCAGGCTGGGCCCTCAATATGGGTTCCCCATAACTGGGAGGATCGCTCCCCAAGGCCAGGGCGATGGGAAGGCGCTGCCCTCCGGGGGCAAGTCACAGCCTCCTGGCTCCCTTCCTGGCCCATCAAACGAGAGCTCTGAGGTCCCTTTTAGCCACAGAGTAATGACCCTGACAACTCCATGTAGGGTCCTCAAGGGTTCTCAGGGGGTAGATAAGAAGGGTTCCTATCCAGCACACTGCTGGCATACAAGTTACTCTCGTGTAATTTAAGCACTAGCCTCTTCAGTATTTTTCCTATGATCTTATTTACCTTGCTTTATCTGCAAAGGGACTCCCATCTCCTCCCTCTCCCACAGAAGTGAACTGAAGGAGTTTCAGGTCCTCCCACAAGCGCAGACACAGTTCATCCCACGACCACATTAGCACAAGTGAGTCCAGTTTACACAACGTCTGGCAGTGTAGACGGCACCTTTTCTCATAACAGTCTGGGAATGCGTGGACTCGCTTGGTACCTAACCTATCTTTTTAGGAGGAGGAGGAGGATGGCTGCAGAGTAAACGGCACGAAGGGGCCCAGAGTCAAACAAGCACGAGGAAGGAAGGAAGGAAGGAAGAGAAGCCAGCCCTCCCCGCCCCCGCCCCCACCCCCGCCCGCGCCCTACCTGCATGCTGAGCACCGTCAGGTTGCTGAGGGCGTCCAGATTCTGCAGCTTGGTTATCTTATTTTTCCCCAAGAACAAGCTGTCGAGGTTGGTCAAGCTGTCGATGTTCTCGATGGCCTGAGGAGAGGACACAGGGAGCTGGCTGGAGGCTCCTCCAGCTCCAGGCCTAGCTACCCCTGAGACCCCGGCAAGGGATCACCTCGTAAGCCTCGGCATCCTCCCTTCAAGAATGTGAAAGGGCAAAGCAGGGCTTCTCTACCCGGCTTGTGGCATGCATCCCTTCTCGGAAGGAAGGTTTTTAAATCACAGGGTTACAAAGGAAACTAATCAGAGTGACAAATAAAGATGTCATTTTTTTCTCATCCAAAGTCCTGGACCCCCTGAAAAATCCATCCCCTCCCCCCAAGACCTCGTGTGAAGGACGCCTGCTCTGATCCCCTTTATAGATGAGCAAACTAAGGCCTGGCGCAGGGCAGACTCCTTCAACATTACACAGGGATATGCAGCCAAGCCGGGATCGGAACCCAGGCCCCAGGATTCCCAGTTCAGTACTCCTCTCTAGATAATGCCAGGTTGCCTTTTAAAAACAAAGAAAAAGTGCTCCCTGAGGACGAAGGATGAGCACAGGCGTGGAGAGCTGGGAGCAGAGCGAGGACCACAGCTGGGCACGGCAGGCCCAGAACGCTGGCTGGCTTCCTGCCTGACCAGACCCATTGCTCTTTCTACCATGTCAGGAGATAATCAATTACGAGCAAGCATCTCCAATAAGACGGTGTGTGACAGAGGCTTCAGAGAGGGGAATGAATAATGTAGAAGCCCAGGAGGCTTCCTGTCCTGAGCCTCTGACCCAGGCCTATGGGGGATGGGGGTCTCCCATCCTCCACACAGCAGGACAGCTGGGCATGAGGGACAGCCAAGGCAAAGGCCTGGAGGCAATGGATGGAGCATCCAGGTAGGCCAGGGGCTCTACTGGTGAGGGCACAGAGGGGACTGACGCCCCAGAGAGATCATGAGCAGCTCACCACCCCCACAGAAGGCAGGTGGGGCCTTATTCTAGAGGGCTCTGTGTGTGTGTGTGTGTGTGATTACAACTAAAAGGGACTGAGGAATGAATCGAGAAAACCATGCGCTTCAGGAACACAAACTCCTTCCTGGACTTCTCAGGGTTTTCTTTGGTTTTTGATCAGGGAACAGAAACCGCACAACCTCCCTGGGGAATCTGCCCCCTCCTTCCCGATGCCACGTCCGGCCCTGCCTGAGTCTCCTGTCACCACTCGAGGGCCCCCGGGCCAGATCGCCAGCTCCTGCCCGTCACTGTCCACTGGCGGGAGGCGCCTCCCTCTACAGATGCCCAGACAGCACCTACCCGGATTCGATTTGATCCAAGTTCTAACATCTTTAATTGCTGGAGGTTACTTATGTTTTCAATTTTGTTGATTTTATTGTTGACCAGGAAAAGTTTCTTCAGCTGGGTGAGCTGATCTATCCCTTCGATGTTTCGTAGAAGATTAAAAGAAATATCTAAAGTCCTGGTACCAAAAAAAAAAAAAGATGAAAAATGTTATTCTTATTTTAACAGCAAAGGCCTCCTCGATTTAGAGAAACAGGACGAAAGCTCTGTGTGGGAAGGACACAGCTTCCGAGACAGACACAGCTCCTTCTCCTGCTCATTCTTGCTGCCAACAGGAAGCCCCGGAACCCCGAGCTTCTGCCAGCTTTCCCCTGGCTTTCGTGTCATACCTAAATCCAGCCTAGCAACCAGGCCTGACTCAGCCTTGTGAACAAAGGACTCACATTCATGCCGCCCATGCTCCTCCTCCTGAAGGCAGCGCCAGGGATGGGCCGGCTTCTAGGGCGTGGCCTGCTTGGGCTGCTGCCCGTGACCAGCAGAGCTCAGTGGCAGAGGCTGCCACCACAACCAGACGGTCAGCAAGGCCGTCCACTAGGGGTAGGGCTCCTAGAAAGCCGCCCCTTGAGGGCCTGAAGCCGCGGTGCTCCCACTGACAAGGTTGGCAGCAGGGCAGCCCCCCTTGGCCCTCCCTGCCCCGGGCAGCCCCTCCTCGAACTCACTCAAGGTCCTTGAGCGCCTCCAGGTTCTCAATCTTTTTGATCTGGTTGTCATAGAGGTCCAGCTCTCGAAGGCTCTGTAGCTCTTCCAGGTTCTCAATACACTTAATGAGGTTCTGACGGAGGCAGAGGGTCTGAAGGGGGACAAAGGGAAAGATGGTGGTCAGGAGGGTTACCTGTGAAGAAAGGGGGCCCAGACTATGCCTGCCTGCAGGAGGTCAGTATTTCTCCCTCCTTCCTTTTTTTGACAGTGGTACTTGTACTTTGCCCAGAATCAAAGGCAAACGTGGCACCTCTCACAGGACGGCCCTGCCTCCCTCAATGAACTCTGCCTGCAATGACTCCTCGGCGCCGAGCACTCCTCCCCCCCCCCCCGGGCCCCGGGCCCCCCCCCCGGTCCCCCCCAGCCCCCCCCCCCGCCCCCCCCCCGCAAGCCCCCCCGGCCCCCGGGCCCCCCCCCCCCCCCCCAGTGACTCGGGACCCTCAGCTGTTACCATACAAAGCCCGTGCCCAGGTCACCCTGCTGGCTCTCCTGAGAACAAACGGGCTTTCATCTGTCCCTTCCTCCTCTCCCTCCTGAAGATATGGCCCCCTCGGCTGGCTGCCCCCGCTGCTCTGAGGTGCACTTTGATTCGGGGCCCTTCACTGCCTGGGGTCGGGGGCAGTCGGTCCTCAAGGCCACTTCCGACTCTCCCTCTGCCACGACCCATCCTTGTCTCTTTTCCAACTCCTGCCCTCATTGTAGGGGACTTCAATCTGTCTGACCACGATCTCTCAGGGTCCAGCTTCTTGCTTCCTCACTCTCCAAGGGTGTCATGACCTGCTTCTTCAGGCCAGCTCAGCCACAGACTGGCCACACCCCCAAGAGCTCCACGTCCTGTTTGTGAATGCTGACATGCCTCTCTCTGACCGTGATATTTCATCCTCCATCTTTCCCTCTGCCTGGGCCCTAGTCGTCTTCGAGGGCCTCATGGGATCTCCATCGCTTTTCAACCTCTCAGTTCTTTCCCAGGCCGTTGACCTATCCCGAACCCTGAGAGGTTCATTTCATCTGAAACTGCTCTCTCCAAAGTTACCAGTGATCTCCTACCTGCCAAATCTAGTGGCCTTTTCCCAACCTTCACCCTTCTGGATGTCTCTCCAGGCTCTGACGCTGCTGACGACCCTCTTTGTTCACAACACTGCTTTCTGCTGCTTCTCTCCTTTGCCCGACTGTCCGTAAGCCCAAGGCTCGGTGACGGGCCCTCTCTCGTCTCTAGACTATCACTCGGTGATGTCATAACTTCCCAGGTTCAATGACCACGGCCAGGAAGATGACCATCTAGCATCGCCCGCTGCTTCTAGGACGACTATGACTGGATCACCCAAGGGCATCTTACGCCGGGCATGCTCAAAACTGACCTCACGACCTCCTCCCAAAGCCTCCCCCCTCCTGACTTTCCTCTGACTGCTGAGGGCACCACCTTCCTCCGAGGCACCCAGACTTGCCCCACCCCCAGCATCACTCTTGACCCCCAGATCTCGTCTGTAGCCATGCTCTGTTGTTTCCACTGTGACCACATCTCCACTCCCACGGCCACCAGCCTGGTGCAGGTCCTCATTGCATCCCGCTTGGCTCTCCCTGCCACAAATCTCTCCCCCATCCTAGGCCCCCCTCCGCTCAGCTAAGGTGTGACTGGGTCACCATCTCCACCCTTATTCAGTGAGGGCCAGTGGCTCCCAGCGTCAGAGAGAAAGTCCTGGGCTCAGCATGGGGAGCCGTGCATGTCCCGGCCTCCAGAACGGCCAGTGGTCTTCAGCCCGTGCCCCTGCGATGCAGCCACACCAGCTTCTTGGGCATTGAGCCTCAGTGAGGGTCCCTTTCCTGGTCCCTGCCCCATGGCCAGGGCCCTTCTTCGGAAACCCACTGTACTTCCACAGCAGCTCTCTAGCATGGACAGTTTCTTGCATGTTGCCTTCCCTGAAGAACAAGAGATCTTGAAGGCAGGGCCAGATTTCTGCCTCGCGTTGTATTCCCAGTGCCGATTGCAGTGTCTGGCTCTGTCCTTCTCTGGGGTCCTCTCCCCTCCCTGCTCTCTTCTCACCCCTTCCCACGTGTCTGATCACTCCTTCTTCTCAGTCTCCTTTGCCGGAATTTCCTTCACTCAGCCGCTGTCAGAATGATCTCCCTGGATTGCAGGCCTCACTGTGTCCCCCCGCCCACTTATTCAGATGAGCTCCTGAGGACCAAATATAAAATCTAGCGCTTGGTATTCAAAGCCCTTCATGGCCTGCCCCCTCCTACCTTCCCAGTCCTCTCCTACCCCACTCCCAACATGCCCTCTTTGTCCAGTGGCACTGGCCCTATGGCCCTTCCACAAACAACCCCCCCGCCCAACCTCTCAGCTCCAGGCCATTCTCCTGGCTGTCTCTCTGCCATGGCACTGGCCGCGCGGCCCCTCCCGACCCCACCCCCCCCCCCGATCTCTCAGCTCTAGGCCACTCTCCTGGCTGTCTCCCTCTCTGCTCTGCCGTGGCACTGGCCTCGTGGCCCTTCCACAAACAAGCCTCTCCACCTGTCTCTCAGCTCCAGGCCTTCTTCCTGGCTGTCTCCCTCCTCTGCTCTGCCTCCTGGCTTCCCTGCAGGCCAAGCCAAAATCTGTCCTTCTCCAAGAAACCTCTCCCATCTCCCTTAATTCTAGTACCTTCCCTCTGTTGATTATCTCCAATAAATCCCACCCTTGTTAACCCTCATGGTTCAATTCATTTAATTTTTATTGTGAGGAGAACACTTAAGAAGCCTTAAAGAACTACACCAAGACAAGTTATTTGGCTGGCATTCGCCGATCCCTTCTTGAGGGAGGGAATTTCAAAGGAAGCCTCTAAGGTATTCCCACGTGAGCGAACGAGCGAGCGGGCGGCCCAAGGCTTGTGTCCTGTGGCCTGTCAAACAGGACGAAGCCTTGCGGGGGTGGGGGCCTGGGGGTAAAGTCTGAGGGACGCCCAAGCATCATAGAGTCTGAGCGAGGCTTTCATTCAGGGCAGGCTCTTTTCTGGCCTAAACTGGAAGGAACTGACCACACTGGAGTGGACACACTGGGGCGTCTTAGACCCTGGGGGCTCTGAGCAGTTTTCTGCTTTAGGCGAGAAAGGTGAGAGCCCTGGGCTGGGCACCCCAACCCCACATCCCTCCCCCATCACCTCAACTGTGGTGTTTAGTGCCATAAAAGAAGGGACGGAACGAGAACTTGTGGACGCTGGCCGGGAACAAGCAGCGGCCAGGTTCCTCATCTCCAGAACCCGCCATCGTGGCCGACACGGAAGGAGAACGTGATCAAGTCCTATCGCTCCAAACGATTTGGAATCAGACTCACCTTCACTTTCTTCAGGACTTCGAACCCTTCAATTTTCCCAATTCGATAATGATTTAGATCAACATCCTGAACACAGAAAAGAAATTGAGCTTAGCCTCGTGGAATTGTCTGGACATTCATGGCCCAGAACAGGCCACGTGAGAAGCTGCCTGGGGAACAGCGCGGTCATTTCTTGGACTAGAGCAAAAATGGAACAGGCTACATGTCACTGCAACTGAAGACTATGTGCTTCGGTGGGCTTTAAAAACCGCAGTGCGTGCACACCTATCCATGTGTTTGTATGTACACACACAAATAATGGCCACACGGACGCATACATCTGCATGTATGTATGTACCCAGGCAGACCTGAACAAATGCATGCAGCAGACGGGACACGTAAGCCAGTGCTTGCCAGAGAAGTGGATTAGAATCCTTCACCAAAGAGCAGCTCAAAAGGATGCCTGAGCTGTTCTCTTGTTTTTCAAAATCTTAAGACTTCCAAAATCAGTTATTAGGCAACAGAAGAGATTCCACAGCCTTGGCAGTTGTTTTTTCCTTTTTTTTTTTTTGTTAGGCAATGGGGTTAAGTGACTTGCCCAGGGTCACACAGATAGTAAGTGCTGTGTGTCTGAGGCTGGATTTGAACTCAGGTCCTCCTGAATCCAGGGCTGGTGCTCTATCCGCTATGCCATCTAGCTGCCCCTCAGCCCTGGCAGTTTTAAAGGTGCTCTGGACCACCTGGACTTCTGAGGAAGACATCTGGATACACAGATACACCTTGGACCCTTCGGATGTGTGCAATTCACTGGCCTCAGGTTTAAATAACACTACATTGTTTCTAGATCTCCAGCAGTTGAAAATGGGTTCAATGACTGGAATTAAAAACATATGAGAGCTACACTAGCCAAGAAGCTTCAGAAGGCCCGCTGGGCACCCATGCTATCCGTGTACAGCACCATGAGCACCATTACCCCCACCCCTCTATATCCCCAGCCCCACACATCTACGCCAGCCAAGAAGCCTCAGAAGGCCCGCTGGGCACCCATGCCACCCTGCCCTATCTGCCCCATTGGGCACTGCCCTGTGTGGTACCATGAGCACCATTACTCCCGCCCCCTCCCCATCCGCAGCCCCACACGTCACCTCGGCATCTTCATCCAAGTGAACAGTTTCCATGTCCACAGGCAGCTCAGAGTCCTCTACAAAAAGGCCAGAAGGTACAATCAAAGTCTTGTTGCGGGTGGGGATGCACGAGGAGGCGAGGGCTGAGGGCGGCAACCCTGCCTTCCCCTTCTTTGTGTCTCCTCCCAGTGCTTAGCACAGTGCTCGGCACACAGCATGTGCTGAAAAAAGATGCTAGAACATGGAACCTGCTTTTTCTGTTCTATTTTGTCTAGGGGACTGGTCTTTTATTTTTGGCATTCATTAAATTCAGAATAAAAATAAATAAACAATGGCGTAGTTGAACTGTTTGTAGTAGTAAAAGAAATGCCATTAACACAGCTCCCTCTCCCCCGCCAGGAGAAGGATTTGGCTTTTTGGGCTGAGGCCGGCGCTCAGGGGGCAGGGCTGGCTGGTGGGCTGCTTCCCCGTCTCCACCCCGAGTTCCCTCTCCTCCGCGCAGCATCTCCCAGGAGGAGAGGAAGGGCTTATTATCCCGTGGGCTCATTCCCTCAGCTCTTCCCTAATTCATGAAAATGAGAATTGGATGGCTTCCCTCCTGTGCGTATTGCCTTCCTTTTGGTTCATGGCAACAGCTCGGACTCTGGGAGTGCAGACCACGCTGAGTCCTCAGATGTTCTGGGATGGGCCTTTTACTGCTTTGGAAAGCTGCCCGCCTCTACCCAGAACAAAACAAGGTGAGCTGCTCCGGAACACAAGAGACCCCAAAGCCCTGCTGGGAGAATAATTCCCAAGGTGGATATTTAGGGGTGTGCTAATTCCACCTGGAAGCCCGTGCTGAAGCCCACAGAACCTGCTTGTTTCCTCCCTCGGGGTCCATCCTGCCGGACCCTGAAAGCCTGGGCTTCCCTGCCCAGGACAGTGTGCCTGGAAAGCCACTTGTCAGCTCTCACAATGAATTTCTCCAGCATCAGTGAGGGAGTCACTGACACCAGGTGAACCGAGTGGTTCCTCACTGTTGGCCAGGATGGGGGCTGAGAACGTCGCCGGGCCCTCGCCTGCATACCCTGGGGGGGCTGTGGCTGGCACCAATCGTCAAATTCATTCTAGTTAATTCCCTTTCCGTGTAACCCTCTCTTTCCCCCACATGTTCAAGTCAGGGATACACAGGAATGTACAGGAGATGGCCCAGACCCCATGGGCATCCAGGACAGTCCCCATCCTCCAAGCACTCATTTCATCTTTACTTTTAGAACTGTGGGAGGCAGAGGGCCCCACCCAGCCCCCCACCTCACCTCTGGAGGCCTATGGCCCCTTCCCCTTTGGGACAGCCCTGATGGTCAGGACTGAGCCTAACACTGCCTCTGTCCCTCTTCCCAGGGCTCCTAGGCCAGTCCTCAAGGCAAGGCCACGCAGAACCAGTCTGTGCCTCTTCCACAGAACACAGCTGAAGAGAGCTTCTCATTCCGTGCTCTCTGGGCCACCCTCCCCCACTTCCCTCTATCAACCTTCCCCCACAATGATCTCCAAAGCATATGCTGGCAGGCCTCCTCCAGACACTGTCTGCAGTGTGATGCCTGGGGCGGGCCCGAGCCCAGTGTGGCCTCTCTTAGTGCAGGGCCCAGGCCCCACAGGACACTGGGAAGGGCCGTAGTAATTGTCCTGCCCAATTCCAAGGGTCTCATTCACCTCCCCAAGGGAGAAGGCAAGCCGATGCTTGGGCCCTCTAGTGGGGGCACTGAGATGAGGCCTATTGTGCCCCCACTGTGTACAGAGCATTGACCTAAAGCCATGGGGACACAGAACTCTCAAGAAAGCCTCTGAAGCTGCCCTCACTGAGGAGACGGGAAGGTACAAACACAGATTAAACTCCATGAGAGAGGGACACAGAGGTACAAAGCCAAGTGCTCTGTGGGGGCTGAGGAAGAGTGGGAGAGAGCAGGCTTCGGGGAGGCCAGAAAGACGACAGACGGTGAGCGAGGAGGTGAGGGACGGCATCGTGGAACCCAGCCCCAAGGCCTGGTGGGTCTGAACTTCAGCAGAGAGGCTGGCCAGAAAGTGTGGGAGGAGGGGAAGGAACGCCTGGAGAAGACCCTGAGAATCCTCGGAAGGATGAGTCCCATTGGCCTCGGCCTGGATGCAGGCCTTACGTGGGGGCCTCACGTGAAGGCTGTGAGGCCACCCTGTGGGCCTTGGCACAGCCTGCCTGGCTGGTTGCGGGATGGGTGCTTGTCCTCAGGTAGTGCTGCCCGGGGGCCTTCTGCCTCGAGGGTCAGGGATTCTAAGGAACCTGATTTTTACTGCAGGGGGAAGGATGACTTGGGAGGTGGTCAGGGGGCTACTGTATCGGTGCAGCGAGGGGTCAGCGAGGGAAAAGAGATATGGGAACGCGGGCATGAGGTGGCGCCCAACCACAACCACAGGACGCGGCAGGGGCTTGGCATGGGGCCAGCGATCAGAAGGAAGCCCCGGAACCAGAACACAGGGGCCTCTTTCAGTCACTCAAGCCCAAGAGATGGTCAGCGGGACTCTGGACCCTCTGAGAGAGGCGTGTGAGTAGAGAGAGCCCACTAGCGGCTCCAGAGGTCGGAAGAGAGGTCAGAGGATAACGCCATATTTGGGAAAAGAGGCTGATCAATGGTAGAGACCCAAACGGGGGCAATCGGGACAGCCAAAGACAGGAGGAGCAGGTGACAGGGGTCTTCAAACAGGCGACGGGGCTGTCCTATGGTATTTAGACTCGGGCTGGAGGGGACCCAGGTCAGGTGGCTGAACTCCCTTATTTTACAGATGGGGAAAGTGAGGCCTACAGAGGTTCCTGCCCTTCTAAGGTCACATGAGCTAGGATGTGAACCCAGAGCTCCTGCCTCCAAATCCAACGCTCCTTCCACTGAATGACCACGCCGGCAGAGTCCAGGCTGTGAGCTCAGGCCCTCTGACTCAGAGAGGTCAGACTTGCTTAGCTGGGCCTCAGGGGACTTGGAAGGCAGAGGGCTAGATGGCCCCTTCCAGGAAGCCTTCAAGCAAACGCTGGATGGCCACTCCTGGCGGAGACAAGTCAGCCTAAGGTGTTGAGACTCAGGGGTTCTGCAGGGCCAGAAAAGGCTAGAGTTGGGGAGTGGCCTGGGAGATCAGGGAGGGCCAACACAGAGGAAGGCCTGAGATGCCTGTTATGTGCTAAGAACTGGGCCACCAAGACAAAAATGAGACAGCCAGCGCCCCTCCAGGAGCTTCTAGTCTACCAGGAGAGACAACACAGACACAGAGAAACCAAACATACACAAGGGAGTCTGAGAGGGCAGGCGCTGGCTGCTGGGAGAAACAGGAGTGGTGCCTGAGCTGAGGGACACTAAGAGGCAGTGGGGAGGAGGGAGGGCACTCCAGGCCTGGGAAACGTCCAAGGCAAAGGCACAGAGAGGGGAGAGAGGCATGATAAAGTGTGAAGGAAAGGAAGACATAATAAGGCTGGAAAGGCAGATCAGGGCTGGCTTGTGAAGTGCCACAAAGGCCAGACAGAGGAGTCTGTATCTGATCCTCAAGGTAAGAAGAAAAGAGTAGGGAGGCGGAAGGTCTGAAGGCTGAGGTCGGAGGGTGGAATTTCAAAATGTCACATGATGAAGGGGGCCCTATGCCGAGATGGGGGGAGGGCTGGACATGTGCGGCCAGTACAGCAGGCAGCTCGAGTGGGATTTGAGGAGGGCAGGAACCCAGGGCAGGTTGTTAGAGCCACATGGGGGCCTTCAGCCAGTCTACTTATCTTAACGTGTTCTCTAGTTGAAAAACAACGACCCAGAAATCAGTTCGAGAGAGAAAATAGCCAGATCACTTGCATGACAGATGATTTCTGCAAATGAGAGTAGATGCTGGTTCTGATCTCCAGGAGGGCAGGGCTCTGTTTTACTCATCTCTACAATTCCTGCAATGCCTTGCACAGAGTAGGCCTTCAGTGAGTATTTGGTAAATTGAAAACTTAGGCACTCATGATGCTTTACAGCTAAGCAAGACCTCACATCATTCTTAAACGTACACAGACTTTAATGAGACACAAACACCAGAATCAGGACTTGTCCCACCAAAGTCTGAGAAGGCCCTTTGAGTCACCAGCAGCAAGGCTCTAAATAAATAGCTGGGGGCAATCATGGCCCAGGTTGGTCTAAACCACTGCCCTTGCCCATATAATGTCCCCAAAGGCTAATGATTGATGGCAGAGCATGACCAGTACCTTCTTAGTAATGGTCCTCTGCCTTACAACTGGGTCGCTAGAGTCACCAGGGTACTTAAGAGGTAAGATGAATAATCCGAGAGGACAGCTCCATCCCACAAAATCGAGATGCCCTAGAAGTGCTTTCTCAGCACGGTGCCTTTGCTCCCTTAGTTTAACAAGGATTATCAGCATTCCAAAATGGCCTCCACAAGGAACCAGACCACTCTGCTGGAGGGGAAGAGGTCATGACCATGACCAAACATCCAACTATCAGAGCGAGTCATGGAGTTGAATCTGGGCCTGCCTTCTTGAACAACACTTCACACGACCTATTTCCCCATCTGCCACAGATAGCACTTCCAACATCGAGCCTGGCCTCTAACGCAATGAGTCTATTCAAGCTGAAACGAGATTGGTCCCTGCAAGGACAACCAATGCGGCAGCGAGCTAGAGGGTCTCCAGTGGACCCCAGGAAACCCTGGTGTAGAGCCCTGAGGGACGGCTGGTGAGCCAGCTGACACACGTGTGGGCAATCACGAACCACAGGAGACGGCAGCTCCCCAGCCAGCTGGGCGTGGACCGTGGCTCGGCCCAACGCAGACCCCCCACAGCCTCCTCCCTGATGTCCTGGGCTCTCGACTGGCAGCACGTACCTTCTGGGTTGTCGAGGTTCTGATCATCTCTCAGGCTTTGCTGACTGAGGTCTGAGACCAACTCTGCTCCATGTTTCTTTCCCTCTTCATCCCCCGACTCTTCAGACTCAACTCTTCTGTCCACTGAACAAAAACAATGTATAAAAAACAGCAAAACCAAAAGTCACCTTCGGAAACATTATTGCCTGTTTGCAGGACGAGATACAATAACTACTCAGTTCCTGGAAAGGCCCTCTCTGCATCTGACATGAAATAAGACCCATAATGAACAGTGACTAAGAGGGGCAAAGGCACTTTTCGTACTCAGGGACGTGCTCCGCCCTGCCCACCTTCTCATCTTCTGCTAGCCAGGCAAGTGAGTCTGAAGAAACTCCTGACAGGCCTCCCTCCACCTCCGGGTAGGTGACGGCGCTCCTGACAGCTACAGCTCGTGCCTATGGCATTAAAACTGGCTGCTGACAGTCAACTGTGGGCTGTTTGTAGGCTTGTGAAAGCACAGCAATTTGGGACACGTTTTCCCTTTAAGGTTGTGAAAAGAAAATCTCACGCTCCCCTTTTGCAATTCTCCTCATGAGTCCCCTCGTTTGGAAATTTCTCGAGATTTCAAAGATGGATCCGACAGACTGCAGTGACAAAGCTTCCCAAACCCCATGCTCCCTCGACATATCATCTGTGGACAGATTGCCAGGGAAGGTTTTATTGAGACAGAGAGCTGTGTTTCTGCACCTGGCTCATCCTGGCTCATCGATGGCAGCAGTGGCTAACTGCTCACAGAGATTATGGCAGACGTTATCTCAAGGTGGGCTGGGCACTCGGTAGTCTTCTACTCTATAGAGGAAGACTCTGAAATGCCCACGGCCACACGGTCCATCTGCAGAATCCAGTTCATCACCCAACCGTCTGGAAACTGGACCCAGGCAGCTCTGTCTCTCTCTGCAAGCCCACCCAGCAGGCCCTTGAGGACAGTCAGCTCTTTCTGTTCCACAGAACGCTCTTCTTTCTCTCAGACTGGGCCTTCCTGTCTGCACACAGTTCCAGGGATTGCAGCGAAGCTCAGGTACTCTTTTCCTGGGCCCGTCCTGGCTCCTCTCTTCACCTGGCGTATCCCAACCTAGCGTTTAAAGTCCATTTCAAATGCTACTGCCCTCAGCTGATGCCCGGCCCTACAGCTGTGGGAGGGACCACAGTTTTACAGAATTCACTGGAAGGCATCAAGCACCCACCATGTGCCAGGCACTGGAGATACAAAGACAAAAATGAACCAGTTCCTGCTCTTAACCTGCTGCTATGGGGAGGTATTCCATGCATACAGAATACATGCAAAATAAACACAGAGCCATTGGGGAGATGGAGAACACTAATTATGGGGAAATCAGAGGCTTCCTACAGAAAGATGGTGGAGCTTCGTGGAGCCTGAGGGGAGCTTTTAATTATTTGTATCCCCTATGAGGGCAAGGTACATTTGGCACATTTGGGGGGGGGGGCAAAAAGGGAAGGAGGTGGTGAGGAAGGGACAAGCAGAGAAAATCGGTTGGTTTCTTTTTTAAGCCATGACATTTCTTGTTAGATCTGAAACATAGTGTAACATGGGGGGGCTACTGCCCCCTTCGGGGACTCCTGGGTCCCTTCTCATCCGTCACCTCTGATATGTTACATTTCTTATGCAACTTTCTCAGGCTCTACGCTACAAAATCCCTGCCTACACATGGTTCTGGACGCACACGGCCTTCGGGATGCCCACTCAACACATGCTCAGCCCTCGCTATTTCCTCTGGGGGTCTTTCTTTATCCACTGATCAATCACAGAATGTTAGCCCCCTTGTGAGAAGGAAAGTGATTCAAAGCACTCTGTCCACTGGGGCCTGGCACAACATCAGTGTTGGAAAGGTCACCATGCTACTCTTCACCCTCCTTATCCGGGAAATGAGGGGTCACCCGACTGGCCCCAGATCCGTGACCCCAGGTCTCAGGACTCCCAATCTGGGGGCCTTGCCCGTGGGGATCTCATTGCCTCGGGATTTTCTCATCTCTTCTCTACCCCCCCACCCCGGAGTCTGGACCCCAGGCTTCTCTCCTGCCTCTTACTGCTTTCGTGCCCCCTTCGGCGCCCATCCCTGAGTCTTCCCTGGCGAGCCTTAGTCTCTCAATCTGAAGTCCCGGGACCCGGGGGCCAAGTCCAGGGCTGCCCCTCTTACTACCCATGTGCCTTGGGGCGCACTACCCCAGTCCTTCTTAGGGCCTTGGTTTATTGCCCATTCCACCCTCTTTTCCTACCACAGTGAAGCACCTACTGTGTGCCAGGCCTCCCACCCTTTCCAGACTCATTTCACATCGTTCCCCTTTGGGAGTTCTAGATTCCGACCCAACTGGCCCGGGTCTAGCTCCCCGCATCCCAAACCCTGTCCCACCTCCGCTTCTCTGCTCCGGCGGCAGCCCCCGCCAGGAACGCCCGCCCCCAATCGATCGATCAGTCAATCAATCAATCACCACTGCTTCCTACGGGGAGCCCTCCCCGTAGTGGAGGGGGTGCGATTCTGAACCCCATTCCCTCCAGGTCCTGGGCTTGCTGGGGGATTCCTCGGTTTCTCCGTCTGTGATGCGGGCCGGTGACCCCCACTAGCACGTCCCTGCCTCAGTTTCCCGGTCTGCAAAGTCCCGCCCCCGCCCCCGCGATGCCTCAGTTTCCCCATCAGTATGGGGCACGCGGCGCTGGGCCTAAGCCCTGGACGCGGCAGGGCGGGCTCGACCCACGCGCGCCTCGGGGGAGGTAAGGGGCCCGCCCCGCCCCCGCCGCCCCGGGCAGCCTCCCCCGCAGGGGCCGCTCACCCTCCATCATCTCCTGCGGCGGCTGCTGCAGCCCCGCGCCGCCCCCCGACGCCATGTTGGTGGCTCTTCCCTTTTCCGGAAGCTGTCGCCACAGCCCTCAGCCAATCAGGGAGTCGGATTCGGCCGCCGGCAGGCCAATCAACTGCGCCGCGGCCGAACCCCCGAGTAGCGTCAGGTGCGCATGTGCAGCGCCTAGGGCCGCTTGGGAGTTGTAGTTCCTAAGGAAAAAGTTGTGACAGCTGGAGGGGGAGGGCGGGACGGGGCAGAGGGGACGGGAGGGAGGAAAGGAAGAGGAGGGAAGGAGGGAAAGGAAGAAGGAAAAGGGGAAAAGGAAGAGGAGGAGGTGAAAGGGAAGGAAAAGGGCCCATGAACGGGGAGGGGCTGGGAGCTGCGTCCAGAAGAGGAGGAGGACGAGGATGTTGATGTGGCCTCGGGAGGACGCAGCCCGCTCCGCGGCGGAGTCCGTGCAATGGTCGGGAGCTTCCTCCTGGCATCCTCCGCGGTACCCCCGGGGCTCCTGGCTCAGCCCTCTGCGCTCGGCCAACACCTCCGATGCCCCTTGCGTCTGTCCCTTCCAACGTGCATTCACGCCCCCTCCCCCCCTCCGCGGCTGCCTTCCCCGAGGCTTAAGCAGCCCTGTCGTCAGGAGGAGTGTTCACAGATAATCCGGGAAATCCCGAAATTGACTGGCTTCTGGGCTCTCTCCGTCCCGAAGGAGGTGGAGCCGCTGAGCAGGTCCACACTTCTCTGGAGGCATCTCAAGACAGGAGTATTGGAATGTCAAGAAGGGTCAGGGTTCTGCTTTGGTTTAAGGTGAAGTCCGGGCTCTCTCCTCTTGGCTCCTCCCTTCCGTGGAAACTATTTGGGGGCAGGAACCTTCTTTTTCTTTCTTTCTTCCTCCTCCTCCCCTTCAGAGCCCAACATAGAGTAGGCACTTCATAGAATTCAATGTAATTGAACTGGTTTTTCTTTGGCATAGCGTAGGCACTTCATAGAATTCAATGTAATTGAACTGGTTTTTCTTTGGCGTTCAAACTCCATCATGACCTAGCCCCCCCTCCCTCCCTTTCCAGTCTTACTACACCTTACACCCCCACCCCACCCCAGTCTGGTGACATTGGCCTTCTTGCCTCTATCTCTTAGCTCCAGGCGCTTTCACAGACTGTCCTCCATACCTCACACACCCTACTGGGTGACACTGGCCTTCTTGCTGTTTCACGAACAAGACCCTCCGTCTCTTGGCTGTAGGCACTTTGTACTGGCTGTTCCCACCACGCCTGGAAGGCTCTTTCTCCTCACTGCACCTCCTGCCTTCCTGGCTTCCTTCGAGTCCCAGCTGAAATCCCTCCTTCTACAGGAAGCCTTGTGGATCTTCTTAATTTTAGTGCCTTCCCGTGGGTGATTATCTCTAACTTTTTCCGTCTATAGCTTGTTTGTGTGTTTTCTCCCGCATTAGACTTCAAGCTTCTCGGGAGCAGGGACTGTCATTTGCCTTTCTTTGCATCCCCAGGACTTGGCACTGTACCTGGTGCGTAGCAGGTGCTTATCGACTGACTTTTCTCCTTGCCGTGTGGCAGGAAGAGCAATGCTTTGGACTCGGAGCATCTGTGTTCGAATCCTCTCTCTCTAGGCTATTTGTGTGGCCTTGGGCAAGTCATTGTGAGGTCCTTTCCAACTCTAGATCTGGGATCCTTCAGGGCTCTAGGCTCCCTGAGATGCTGGGTCGTCCAGACCCACCTGCATCAGGAGGGACCTCAGCTTCAGGCAGATGGAGAGAGTAAGAAGGGTGTTATCCCAACTGCGCCTTTCATTTGTTAACTATTAGTTGATTAAGCACCTACCTCACGCTAGGCCCTGGGCTGGGCACCAGATCCAGCCCCTGGCCCGGAGGAGCTTACCTTCTCCTAGGGTGACGGATCACACACCGATAAGAAGAACTAACGGGAGAGAGGGAAGGGGGCAGAAGTTCAGAAGGAGAGTTCTCGGAATGTGTGAGTAGTTTTCAGCTCCGGACAGGGGCGATCAGGGAGCGCTGCGGGGAGGAGGTGCGAAGACCACGAGAAGGACCAAGCACACTGCGGGCACAGGGCCTGGGCACAGAGGCCTGCCTCCATCTGCCGAAAAGTCCCGCAGCCGTCCGGGAATCTCCCCGACTCAGAACTCCAACAGGCGCCGCCGGTTGAACGGCTCCTGGGAACGTCGCTCCTTTTGGCCCCCGCCGGCTACCGTAGCCGGGACCGCTTGCGTCCCTAGCAACCGTTAGTGCGCGCTTCTTCCTTCGGGATCCTCGAATCCCGCCCTCTCGGGGAACGCGATTGGCGGGCTCCCTCTGTCGGTCTCCGCCGGGGCCCGAGCCCCGGCCCGTGATTGGTCCGCGGGCCGAGAAGGCGCCAAGCGGCCCGCCTCTTGGGGAGTCGAGCGCTCGGAGCCCGCAGTCGGCGGGTCGGTGCGTCCTGTCCCGGTCTGTCGCCGCCGGCCCCGGCCCTCAGGTAGGCCTCGATTCCAGGCCTCGGAGCTGGGGTTGGGGGGAGGCTCGGGGCGCCGCCGGGACCCCCTGTGCGTCCGGGGAGAGCGAGGCAGCTCCCGGCCCGAGCGAGCCCCCCTCGGCCCAGGGGAAACTGAGGCCCGGGCGGGGGCAGGGACTCGCGGCGCCCCGCGGAGGCGGCCGGCGGGAACGAGAACCGTCAGGTTCTGGGGGGAAACTGAGGCACGGAGAGGCCCAGCCCCCAGGGCAGCGAGTGGGGTCTCCAGCCCCAGCCGCCCGACTAGCTGGCTCGCCCGGCCAGGGACGCCGCCTCGAGCCTCAGTGTCCTCGCCTGTAAAATGGGACGGTCTTTGGGACCAAACGGAATCCTGGGTTTGTGAAGCCCTTGGGGTGGGGCGACCTTGGCGGGCCTGGGAAGACTAGCCCGTGTGTGTGTGTGTGTGTGTGTGTGTGTGTGTGCACGTGTACATAGAGGCATGAGTGACTGTATGAATGCGTGTGCACGTGTACGTAGGGGTGTGTGAGTGTGTGTGCGTGTGTGCACGTGTGCATAGGGGTGTTTGCGCGTGAGTGGGCGCATGTGTGTGGGTGTGTGCATATGTGCATAGGGGCATGCTGTGTGCATAGGTGTGCGTGTGTGCCTAGGGGGTGTGTGTGTGTGCACGTGTGTGTGTGCATGTGTACTTAGGTGTGTGAGTGTATGAATGTGTGTGCACGTGTACATAGGTGTGTGAGTGTATGAATGTGTGTGCACGTGTACATAGGTGTGTGTACGTATGAATTTGTGCATGGGGTGTGGCGTGTGCACACGTATGTGTGAGTGTGTACACATGTGTATAGGAGGTGTGAGTGCACGTGAGTATGTGCATTCATTTGAGTGTGCACATGTGTGCATAGGTGTGTGTGAGTATGCACGTGTGCATAGAGGGTTATGATTGTATGAATGTGTGTGTACATATGTGCATAGTGGTGTGTGCATAGGTATGTGCATGTGAGTACACGTGTGTGCATGTGTACATAGGTGTGTGTATGAATGCGTGTGTGCATAGGTACGTGTAGTGCATGTGCACATGTGTGCACAGCTGTGTGTGAACGTGTGCATAGGGGCATGTGGTGTATGTGCATATATGTGCATAGGTGTGTGCATTGTGTGTGCATGTGTGTACACATATGTGAGTGTATATGAATGCATGTGTGCACATATGCATAGGGGTGTGTGGTGTATGTGTGCATGTGTGTGTAGGCGTGTGCAGTGTGCATAGGTATGAGTGTGTGCATGTGTGAGTGTGTGCATGAGTGTGTACATGTGTGCATGTATGAATGCATGTGTGCATAGGGGTGTGTGAGTGTATGAATGCATGTGCACTGTGCATAGGGGTGTGGTGTATGTACACACGTGCATAGGTGTGCGAGTGTGTGTGAGTGTGTACGCATGTGTGCATAGGTGGGAGTGTGTGCATGTGTGTGTATGAGTGTGTACATGTGTGAGTGTGTACTTGTGCATAGGGGTGTGAGTATGTACACATGTGTGAGTATGAACGCATGTGTGCACTGTGCATAGGTATGTGTGTATGTATGTGCGTGCATGAGTAAGTGTACACATGTGCGTGCACACATGTGCATGTATGTGTACATGTGTGTGTGAATGCATGTGTGCACTGTGCATAGGTGTGTGTACACGTGTGCATAGGGGTGA